ATACTCCGCGTACTGAAGTTGTACTACAAAGTCGCCAGTTCTCATCTGCCAGCTCCCCAGATACTCCGCATACTAAAGTTGTACTACAAAGTTGCCAGTTCTCAGCTTCCAGCTCCACAGATTGCTCCGCAGATGCTGTGCCTGCCACGAAATCTGCGCATGAAGGTTACAGGTTCACAAAGTGCTGTGCCTGCCACGAAATCTGCACCTCAAGGTTCACAAAGTGCTGTGCCTGCCACGAAATCGGCTGCGCCTGCCACGAAATCTGCGCATGGAGGTTCACAAAGTACTGTGCCTGCGACGAAATCTGCGCATGGAGGTTCACAAAGTGCTGTGCTTGCCACGAGCTCTGCGCGTGGAGGTTCACAAAAGTGCTGTGCCTGCCGCAAAATCTGCGCATGGAGGTTCACAAAGTGCTGCGCTTGCCACAAAATCTGCACATGGAGGTTCACAAAGTGCTGTGCCTGCCACGCAATTGCCACGAAATCTGCACATGGAGGTTCGCAAAGTGCTGCGCCTGCCACGAAATCTGCACATGGAGGTTCACAAAGCGCTGTGCCTGCCACGAAATCTGCGCAAGGAGGTTCACAAAGTGCTGTGCCTGCCACGAACTCTGTGCACGGAGGTTCACAAAGCGCTGTGCCTGCCACGAAATCTACACATGGAGGTTCACAAAGTGATGTGCCTGCCACGAAATCTGCGCTTGGAGGTTCACAAAAGTGTTGTGCCTGCCACGAACTCTGCACATGGAGGTTCGCAACAAAGTGCTGTGCCAGCCACGAAATCTGCACTTCAAGAAACAAGTGAAAACTCTAACCGTAATGGAGGGACGATTCCGAGCATGATCCGACCATGACCCGAGACCGTCTCGCAACCGTCGTTCCGCGGAGCTTCCCCATTGAGGTTCGGAGAAGCGTGGAGGTTCACAAAGTGCTGTGCCTGCCACGAAATCTGCGCATGGAGGTTCACAAAGTACTGCGCCTGCCACGCAATCTGCACATGGAGGTTCACAAAGTGCTGTGCCTCATGGAGGTTCACAAAGTGCTTCGCCTGCCACGAAATTTGCACATGGAGGTTCACAAAGTGCTGCGCCTGCCACGTAAACTGCACATGGAGGTTCACAAAGCGCTGTGCCTGCCACGGCATCTGCACTTCAAGAAACAAGTGAAAACTCTAATCGCAATGGAGGGAC